GTGCGTGTTTGTTATTTGTCACGTATATATATATATATATATATATGCGTATGTGTGTCTGTGTTTTTGTCTATGTCTGTGTCTGTTTCTGTGACTGTGTCTCTATCTGTGTACGTATGCCTGTGTGGCTTGTGTCTTTTTGTCTATGTGGCTGTGTGTGTGTTCTTTGTGTATGTGTGTATGTTGTAGAAACAGGTGAGGCATCGAGAGTTTGTAACCATGTGTTGCTTATCCCGTCTTCATTTATATTTAAATATCTAGTATTGACGCGCATATTTGATTCACATCTACAGTATCAGTATTAAATATGTAAACATGATCGCATGACCGACGTCTGCCATAAAATGTACAATGTTTTTAAAAATAATCTTATTTATGCTCGCCTGATACTTGGTAGTCGATATTCTTCTGCGCCTGTACTAGCCATACACTTGTTGTTTGAGACTTTTATTTGAATCTTTTGAAATATCCAACCTCTCACCAGCGTTCATCTCACATGACCTACTTATGTTCTCCTCCGCACACTGTTATGTATGTGCTTACCGCATGATCTATCTATCACTTCCGCTCCCACTCTGAACACAGTGACGAGTTCGAGCAACCCATCGACCAGCACACGGGCGGGTACATCCAGACGGTGAGTTCAGGGGGCAATAGCACTCGTTTGTTCAATTTTCTGCATCCGGAAGATCCCTTGTTTCAGACGCTTCTGAGACTTTCTGTGCCAGACAATCGGCTCACCTTCAAGTTCCCGGTTTTCAGATTGCCCAGAACGATCATCAAGGTAAGCTCGAATTCACGTTTTTTATCGGATAACTACCGGGAAAAGGGTTCTCTGGTCCATAATACACAGTTCTGCTCCGGTGAAATTGGTTCTATGGGGGGTGAGTAGCTCTCAGACCCAAATAACTACCGGGAAAAGGGTTCTCTGGTCCATAATATACAGTTCTGCTCCGGTTAAATTGGTTCTATGGGGGGTGAGTAGCTCTCAGACCCAAAGGTCTGGTATATCATTCTCTTCATCTCTGTACAGGAGTGCTGTTTTTAATCCAAATCTGGTTTAAGCTTGTTCTTAAAAGACCGGGATTGTCATAGAAAATTTAATTTGTTACGTTCGGTTCGCCAGGGTCCAGTGTGAATCTCACTTTTTGTTTCTGTGATCTGCCAATCTGTATTAAAGCCTTGGTATCCCTTATAGAATGTTCAGGGATGCCAAAATATCGTGCTTATTGGCATTTTGATTTGCTATCAGTTTACTGACAGTATCAACAGTTTGAACAATCTAACCAGAACACAATCGTACCATCTAGTCGAGCACTAGTCGATGGTGTAGTATGTGTCACCGTGAAGAGTCTGTTGGACCTCATTTTGAATCACCCTACCCACTGTGTTCAGAGTGTGCAGTTTGTTTGCAATACAAACTTTCGATTGTGAGAATTCGAGGTAACTGTACTAAGTATTCGACAATGATGAACATCCGCCGTATAATGTATGTACAGAAAAATTGCGGTTCTTAGCTATAAGGCATCTGTATATAACACTCTCTCACCTGCTTGTCGCCCTCAGATGCTGGCTAACCACGACAACACGAGCCTGCCCCCCGTCATCACCAACAACGTGGTGAGAGACCCCTACCAGAACGCTCAATATATCCAGTTGAATGCGTTAGAGTACTATCTCTTCCAGTTCGTCTTCTGTGCAGTGAATAGACAGACGCCGCTGCCAACTGGCTTGTCGTCCGTGCTGTACTCGGACCTGTTTGCTGCGTATCTGGAGATGCTTCTGCCGTTGCCGCGCATGGAGCTGGACTTCAGGGTATGTGTGTGTGTGCAGGGGAGAAGGAAAATGGGCACTCAATGTACCAACACTGGTGCACCGTGAGTGTGGGTGTAGGCAGTAACACAGCTAGAGACACATGTACACAAAGGTGATGGGTACCGAAATGCCTGGGACATAAATACCAGCACGCTATCTTGTTGCTCTGTGTATGTGTGGGCGTAGACCACAGTCCAGGTAGACGCACCAGTATAGGGAGCACTCGGACATTCGCACCAGCTTATTTGATATCCTCTTGCCGTATGGCGTACTTGGGGCTAGGGTTGCTATGTGTAGTGCTGCAGTGTATTCAGAGATTCATAGCTTATTGTGGTAGACTGGGTTTGCGCGGATATTAGCCAGTGCTCTCTGTAATAGCAATACAGTGCATGCGCCTGTAAACGTTTTGTAATTATACGAATGGCCCTGTTTGTGGTTGCGTAGATCATATTTTGTGCCATTTCTGTATGTCAAGGTAATATACGGAATCCTCTCCTGTCAAGGTGGGCTGAACTATCCATCAACACTGATTATCTGATGGTAGTGAAGTATGATTATTCAGCCCTGGTACTGACGCATATTATAACATATATACCGAAAACGTTCTCTGTGTGGTGTTGCGCAGAGATTAATATATAACCATACCCTGACACGAACGCAGACACATCCGGTGGATAGCAATGTTCCCAACATGCAGATGATATTTTACAATGTGGACAAACACCTGGCCGACAAGTTCATTGACATACTATCATGTAAGTACCGCGACATAACATTTATGTGTATTCATCAAAACTCGCACACTTCCGTCTCTGCAAGTATCCCGCCGATCATTTGTGATCACGTATCGTGTGCAGTGAGTCTTCCATTGGTCAAATTAATAGTAGAAACGTATGGTGTTGACATACGGCTAAGCATTGGTGTACAGTGTTTGAGTCCTCAACTATGTCACATTGTGGCATTGGAAATCGGCATCTTCGGCATCCTATGAGTTTTCCGTATTCTGACTTGTTAAAATAAGGCGTTGGCAACATACATTTTTATGTTGTTATTTTATAGATAGCATGAGAGTACATGCACTTCGTATACCTATATCATAAGCGATCGCGGTAGGCTGTAGTTGATTCTTTCTGTATGCATTTATGAAATACAGCGAAGTCTCATATGTGACGATCTATTCCGTGTTATATGTCTGACTTTTTATAAGGTGAGTTGTCGCGACGATAACCCGCACGCCTACCCGTGCATGCGCTAGTCGTACGCGCGTCACCAGCCAGCAGGCTTGTTACCCATGTGTAATAGTAATAGTAATGTCATAGATATATTGCGTAAAGCGTAAAGAAGAAAAAGTGATTGTGGTACTGCGCACGGTGCTTATCCAGTCGCTATTTGTGGGGATAATTCGGGATGTTTATAGACAAAAGGTCAAGATGTATCTAACAACGAGTTGAGTTGTCATGTGTGCTTCCTATTCCTGGGACTATATACATGAATAGAAACCCAATCACGCCGTTTTGATACACACATCGCAGCAGCAGACAAGGCAGCCGCGAAGAAAGTGCTGATGCAGCCAGAGAGGGATCAGCCCATCTGATCCAATTTGTTGATTTCTAAACCCCTATACTCAAAACGATCCGACCATCATTAAGGTGAAGGCAGATTCCGTATATCTGGGAGATAGTCTTCACAATGTCTAACGCATCACTTGCTACAGTGTGATCTAACTTAGATTTATTTATTTTAATCATTGTACTTGCAGTGTTCTGGCTGAAACAAAATGCGCCTCCCAATACGGACTCCGCCGCAGCCGTGTTTGACAACCACACAGCCGGTCACTCCGACCTCACCGAACCACCCATACTGGTAGGTAGCGTCACCTCTCAATGTCACCTAAATTTAGAGCATCTATTTATAGAACATCTACTGCCCATGCTGATACTTGAATGTTTGATAATCACACAGCGTGTCTCTTTGATCCCACCGAACCACTCATACTAGTGGGTAGAAGCACTTCTCCATATGGCCCAAATTCAGAGCAACTATTAGTTCGCCTCCTTAGCGTACTCAACTACATCTTGGTATATACCTGTGCACGATACGTTATCACCCATACAGCGAAAGGCAAGCAACGTTGTACAGTCGGTTTGTTTCTCTCAATATACACACAAACTCTCTATATATCCCTATGCACCGTATGCATAGCCAACAGAGATATGTGTGAGCTGCTGTCGGACGCTTGTGTCACATTTGCACAAGATGGCGCTGCCTATAGACGAAGCCTTACTGAAAGATCTCGAAGAAAACGAGCGCGCTTTTGTGGCCCAACGGGATGCTGGGGCCGGTGAGTTCTAGAGATTCCCATGCTGTAGGCGAAGTTGACACGTCAAACGTTCAAACATATCTGATATGCGCTTTCGAGTTTACGCGTAGTATTTGAAGCTCGTTAGTCCATGTATGCTCCTTGTCAGTTGTGTCCTGACCAGCATTCGCAGTCTGTCTGGCTTGCTCTGTCTGATCAGGTAGGGTCTCTCCCGCGAACCTGAATAACACATCCACCACACGCACGGTATGAACAAATATCTATACATACATAAACACATATATACCCACACACGCGCACCCACTCTCTATCGCACACATACACACTCACTAATATATATGGCCTTTGCTTTTGTTTTGTTTTTTAAACTGCCAAATCATGCCGTGTTTTCTGATAGGCTTTGCTTTTGTTTTATTTTAAGCAGGCAAATCGTGCCGTCTTTTCTGATAGGAAAGGTGTCTGTGTGTTTCCCTCGCTCAGTCTTGGTGCACCACCAGTCCCAATCCATTCCATGTTGTAGTTACTAACTCAACGCTTACCTGTCATTCTCTGTCATTTTTCGCCTCATATATCAGAAATGGCTATGCCATCAGCGTACGGCTCGCGAGTGTCCAGGACGTCCCGATTTGTGCCGAAAATACCTGATTTCGAAGCAGATAATATACTTAAAAGCTTATCCGCAGACCTGTATAGATACTTGGATGTGTGCTTCAATCATTGGCCCATGGACACGACAATCATGTATGAGGGGGTGACAGAGTGTGTGTAGAATGGCCCACAGGTTTTATGTATTTATATCCGCAATTGTGTTTTTGTGGGAGTGTGTGAGTAGTTTGTGTACCACTATAACATTGTATGTTTCACTGTATTCATCTGTAGTAGCTAGTGGTGTTTTCCGAAGGAGAAGGCCCCTTACAACTATGCATATACTCTGAAGTTATGTATATAGCTACGAAGTTTTTAGTGAAGACAAATTACCTTATTCGAAAAGTACGTGCACATACTACTGCAGATATGTCTTTAGGTGACTTAAGGGTTCGAGTGTGTATCAGACTATGACCAGACTATAGTAGCACCTGTTAGCATGAAGGCATTCTGTTCCACTGACGTTTTCTCTGCTTGCCTGGCATACATCCTTCCGTTAGTAGAATAAAGAATACGCATCAACAATTTTATACAACATAGGTGCTTCATAGACTCGTACCAATAAGCTCAACTTTTCGTATAAACTCTATTCTTCAATGTTTGTGGCAACATTTGTAATCACACAGAGTGGTCTACCGCCTGTACTTCTCACTGGCACAGCCCTGGAACTATCTCTCAGATCCGAAATGGGCTGACACCGAACAAATAGGTGAGTAGCTGTACTTGTAAGCATAACTATTCTGTACTACTTGGTTCTCAACCTTCACAATAATATCATAGTAATTGTTGCTTTAAGTTTCCGAGGGGTACTGCCTGTGTATGCACCAGATTATTCATTTTCCCCCATAGATATGCGGAATTTCGCAATAACTGTTTGTGTAGTATTATGCTCACCTGTCTGGCGACGTAAACGATTGCATCCGTATCGCTTGTGGTGTTCAGATTTATCTATTCGTTTCTCCATCTAATACAAGTTTGATTAAGTGTGCTGCGACTGAGGGTTACTTCCCAGGCTTGTGAAAGTCAACCAATCCTACGCACAGGATGCATATAAATAACTTTAAACAATTTGTAATACTCACCATATGTGTCTGCTGTTGTTTATTTCTCATCCGATCCAGAGAACTTCTACAAACCTGAACACATTGTGAATGTTTCGCAGGACATCCAAGACAAATACTTTACCGAGTACATCGAGGCACATCTCGCCCATTATACAGTGTATGTTGATCGGAACTTATTAAATTTCGTTAACTGTACTGCGTATGCTATGATTTACTTGTTTACATGTATCTGTATGTTTATATATATATATATATATATT